ATATATCATTCGAATAATACTTAACGTTCTGTACCAATTGCACGCTCCACTTTTCAAGTTGTAGTATCTGATGTACTGACTCACGTTTCTCCCTTGACAGATCAAAGTGAAACTGCTAGGATCAGTCCAATAAACGTACGTAATTTGCGTAGAAATTTCTCGAGGCTGGCGCGATCGTCGGATGACTGACTCTGTCGACACAACTTGTCCAAGAAGCGTTTACACAAGCAAGAACAGATATTGCTCGAGCGATCGAAATGAACTTCGACCTCCAAAGCCCTTTAATTGCTCGCAGAACCACGTCGTTTCGGCGCAATGAAATTTTGAACTGAAAAATCACAATTTCGTCAGAGCGGAAGAAATGAAATGAAATGAAATTCGACACCCCGATACCTTTCGACATTTCGAAGTATGATTAATAATTCAAACTACTGTCCTTCTTCAACTTTAAATGAACTCGGCTTCTGGAGAGACCTTAACTCACAATTTAAACGAACCTAACTTCGAATTATAAATCTCATCCGGGACGAAGTTTTCGAAGCGAGCTATTGACTTCGTAGCACGGAACACCCTTAAGTCACAAGTTAAATAAATCCATTCTTAAATTATCAATCGCAGGTTTGTCAGAGCGAGAGTGAACCGAAGCGTGTCAACTTCGAGGCATCGGCCACTCCTCGAAGTTCTCGAACGATTCAAAGCGACCGCTCGGGCCAAATTTGAAATGAAACCTTCGGTTTTAATGCCATCGGCTTCGTAATGTCGTCGACAGAAATGAGACGAAGTTTCAAAATCGGGGCACACAAGTTCGACAACTTTGATCGTTAAATATTCCAAGGCGAATTTCAAACGAATTCGCTCGCGTCCACGCTCGGTATTCGTCTTCATTCTCGACCGGCGCGACGCACAAAGCGCTGGAGACGTAAATTGTTTCGAAACCGGCACGAGGTTGCCGGACAGGAAGGGAATCCTGTTAATTAACTTTCCGGCACAAAGGCGGGCAGGAACTTGCACAGGGACGTCACATGACCGACTTTTCGCCCTCACGTTTTAACAAAGAATGCTGACACCGGGCCGAGGCGGGAAAACGTGAGGCGGATGTAATGACGCCGGCCGACGCGACCTGGAGGGGATGAAAATGAATCATGGAGGATCAATTAAGGATGTTTACCGACTACCTAGTCTGTGCTTAATCAATGCACCTTTTAATTAGACCCTCGTTAACTCCGTTAAATCCTCAAGTCTCGTCATCGATGGTGCGACGAGATTTGAAAATTTTCGAGGTTCGCGAAACCGGCCAGCCGACGCACGTTCGACTGCACATGCGCGATCCATCCCTTTGAGCTACGTCACTTTCGAAAAACTTTCGATTCGAACGCGGTTGGTTCATATTTTTCGTTTATTTTCTTTCATTTTTTTTTTTTTTTTTTTTGCAAAACTCCAATTTTTGGGAATTTTGACGAGTCGAATTCGATAAGAGTGGGGGCAAGTTAACACGTTTTTTGGACTTTTGCAATTATCGTATAAATTAATTCATGTGATTCTGCTTCGAGAGGAAAGCGTGAATAAATCAAGAGGTGCTCGTTTAACTGTTTCCGCTGGCAACTGATTGCGGACCATAACGAGCGACCAAACCGTACACAATATTTCGTCGCTTTCTTTTTGAACTTGTCGGTATGGATAGAAATGATTGAGAAGTAATGAATTTATTATTTGTTTTGACTATTTCGTTTCACTTAAATAATAACTTGAAACTGAGGAAATATTAAAATTTCGGAACAAAAAATTCTCGACGTCATTCCAGCGCAAGAGGTTAATGGGGTTATTTTTTATCTCACTGTATGAGATGCTTGCAGTCACGTTGATTGTAACATAATTGTAATTTAGAGTAAACAATAAAAAATTCTCCAAGTATGAATAACAATTACCGTATGCGTAATTAAAAATATTTTTGCCGTATACCATGCGAGCCAATTTCTGTATCAACCTAACCTATTAACGACCTAACCTAAACGAACGAACAAAATGCATTTGTCTCGTCCATCAAGCGATTCAACGAGAAGTTAAAATAAATCAGGATATATCATCTCCGGAAGTCAACATAAATCATTGCTCTTTCTTTCTCTCTCTCTTTCTCTCTGTAAAGCCAAAAATTATACACTCCATTGTAATAAATAGTTCGAAATTTATACGTTTTGTCCGCGTATGTACGATAAAAAAAAAAAAGAAAATGAATTTTTTGATTTATACTACTGTCTAGCTGTATCGTTCAAAATTTTTTTGTTGTAAAATCGTATTCGTCAAAATATTTACAGGAGTGAAATCACCGACTGGTGACCGTGTCGTGGCAGCCAACGCGTTAAACAACGAACGCGTCGCCCTCATTGAATTACACGTATACAACGTCCAGATAATTTGTATCAAGCTGGCCATGTATCAACTTGCCTCGACCTCACCTCGTTGTAAAATCTAATAAAATGGAGCAGAGGCGGAGTGATAAATTATCGTTCAAACGGCGTGACAGGGCTGAATGTGACGCGGCCCCCGCAACGAGACGTCGCTGGATGCGACGAGAACAATGGCGGCAATAATTCCACACATTTGCGTGGTACTTTTACACCGCGGCGCTAGATAATGGGGAAAGACCGGGGAATGACAGGGTAGCGCTTGGCTCGATGATTTTACGCGCGCAATTGCTGAGATCGGGTAGCTGAAATTACGGGAACTTGTGCGCATTACTCGCGAGGGCGACAGCGCGATTGAGCAAAAGTTTCTCGAAGGAAATTTGAAACAGTCCGAGTGTATAATTTTATGGGTTATTACGCACGCGTAGAGTTCACTGTGTACGAGTGGAAAGGGTTTTTCGCCGGCGAAAGAAACCTGTGGAAGAAACCCTGAAATTGAAATTCCCGAGCGGAGGATTTTGTTTCCCGAGAAGAAAGTTACGCCTGCCTTTGATTAAAGTTTCAGCTGCGTCACAAGGTAGCCAGCTTTGTTCGATTTATGTTTTCAGTGCGCGCCAACTGCGAGGTGGAGAAGACGAAATTAATTAATTTCGAACGAGGTGTGCAATCTGAGAATTGTTTGGCCGGAAATTGATTTGTTAATTTGATTTATCTGTTTCCGTGTTAAATTTTTCACAAACACACAAACACACCGCGATACCCTTACTTCAGTTAGATAGTTCACAGATAATTTTCAAATTAGAATTTAATCGGATATATATTGATTCATATATCAGAAACTTTATTCTTGGAGGAACGTACGTTTGAATAATAAATATCTGTGCCATTAGTCAAATTAAATCATTGATTTATATCATAAATTAACATATTGGAGTATTATAACATAAAAATTTAATTGTACAAATAATTTATGTTTTATATTATTATGTATTTATCTGCATTAATTTAAACTCAATCTTCCATATATGTGTACATACATTAAATATTCAATTAAAGAAAATTAATTCAAAATTATAATATTAAAAATAAAATATCTAGAAACCTTGAGATATATAACTAACTAATCAAAAATTTGGTGGCCTTCTATTTTTTTTCTTTCACAAAATAATATAACAAATACTCGAGTACACTATAATACCCTTTCTGCGCTTTTAAACCAGAGAATTTTAAATAATTCAAAGTATCATTCAAGTATCAGATCATTGGAAGAAACATCTAAGAAACGAATCTTTCGCAAAATATCAACGAGAATCGCGAGAATTGGAGAAGAGTACGCGGTCCAACATCCTTTCTACACGTTGGCTCGAATAGTTCTTCCGCTTTTTGCGTCTAACGCCGCAAATTCAAGGATTTCGCTACTAATTGTTCGAGCCCGGTCGACCTAAATATCTCCTCGCAGTCGTGAAACCCCGCAAAAAGAAAAGGAAAAAGAAGGAAAAGAAGGGACCTACATACGTTCGGCACTGGGTGGACTCGTAAATTTTCGCGTTTCCATTCATTCGGTGCGGCCCTTTCGGTCGAAACCCCAATTATAATCGCAAATTCGAAGGCCGCACACACCTCCTCCTCCCCCTACCCCTTCTTCTCCATGCAAATTCAGCCACCGTTTTTTGGAGCGTGACTGAGATGCCTAAAGGCTCTTCAGCCGGTGATTTATAGGCAAGATACACACGCGGTGGCATGTGGGGTCAAGTGCTTTGAAACCGGGCGTGTAGCTACTTCCGGCCGAGTGCTATGTACAGAGGTGATGGAGTACGATTTGGCGATTTAACGATTTCACGGTCGGGTTGCTCGCAACCCGTCATATTGCGTTCGTTTCTCGATAAACTGGTTATATAAACGAAACGCGTGTCTTATCTATCCGCGTGTCACAATCACAGTTCTCGCCAACTTCGTACCGCGTCTCTCGTCTCAGGACGATTGCGCACGCACAACGCGACCGAGATCGCGGATGATACTTCGCGCGGGTTTTATTTCGGTTTGTTCTCCAAATTTATTCCAACGTCCGCGCCAGCTGTTTCTAAGCAGAGCCTCGCGTTAAACAAAAAAAAGAAACCAGGAAACGAGCACCCTCTCTGCCACCGAAACGCCTTTTACACGCTGAAACGTTTTTGCCTGCCCAGCCCAGATAGCATCTGGTTTCGCTGCGTTCCGGCAGAGAGTTAAAACCCTCTGAAGAATTCTCGCCACGACCACAGGCTGAATCCGACGAGCAAAAAGAAGCGAGCAGCAGCAAGGGGGGAGGGGTGGGAAAAAGAACACGGGGTGGAGCGCGACCCAGTGAAATTTACGCCGGCGATCACGTAGACGGCTTTAAGAGCGACGGAAACGTGTATTTATACGGCGAACGCGTTCCGCGAAATGGTACTCGACATTAACCTCCGTATCAATATTGCATTAGCGGGTGGGGTGCGTTATCAATGGATCGGGGAAAAATCGAGGGGGAAAAATTCACGACGTGGGGGAAGGAATATCGGTTGTTCGAGGCTCCCGTCATCGACGAAGACGTTAAACGTCTACAGAGAAATCATGCCACACCTGTGACGTATACGATCGTCGGCTAGAAACATACAGAGATCGATGCAGATGCGCTCATACCGCTCGCTCGTGCACGATGAAAATACCTCCTGTTCCTCGTTAGCTGCACCAAGTCCAAGTTCGCACGACGTACCCGGCACAAACACTTAGAACGGGTTCTCGTTTCTCTGGCAGTGGTGTGTCTGGGGACGATACATCGACGAGCAATCGAGCGATCCTACCCCCATTCGTCCGTCCGGCGAGTGTCAAGGTTCCACGCTTCGGTAGTCGATCCACCTTCTGTTTCCCCGCAGAAGGAAATCAGGCCATCACCGATCGGACGTTGATCGAAACGTCCACGATCTGCTCGATCATCGGTCGAGCCTTCGTGAACACTGGCCAGCCTCGCACTTGGCCCTCATAATTGCGCGAAACAATCGCGACCGGATCGATTAACGGCACCGTGCGCGTCCGCGGTAACCGCCGAGTGTGTCCATCCGAGTGGAAAATCTTGCTGGATTTCTCGCCGTCACGTTCATCTTGCGGCCGATCGTTTCCAAACGTGCACTGCCCTAAACGATTCCACCCTCCTCGTACACTCTTCCCTCGTCGATCTTCATTCTCGCGACAGGGACGGCCGATCCGTGTACACACGATCGAACATCGCGTTCAATTGATCGAGCACGCGGCGCTTCGACACACGAATCCTCGATTATCTCTCCTCGCCTCGCGATTAACAGAGACGGAGGCAGAGGTAGCGGCACGAGGCACTCCTCGTCACCTCGGAGTATCGCCGACTACCGCACGCTCCGCTCTCCCCTTCTTCCGCAACCCCTACGGTTGATGATCACGTGACCGGGGGGATTTTACTGGCGCAGCGGAACCGAAGGACTTCCTGATACGATCCGACTCGAGTGGATCCTGCCACGGCGAATGGTCGCGTGCCAACCCTCTCTCCCTCGATCGACTCGCCGATCAGTCCATCATCGTGCGGACCAGCGCGTCCAGTCTGAAAAACAACGACCACTCTCGAACGCGTCCTCGCGAGCACCGGTCGTGAAGCATCATTCTACTCTGGTCAGTCACGGGCGTCGCTCTCTCTCTCTCTCTCTCTCTCTCTCTCTCTCTCTCTCGAAGCACTTTCACTTTTTTCCCGTTTTGGCGCGTGAACCGCCAGGAGAGGCTGCACGTGCACCCACGGTCTGTGGCGTCTGGTGTTTCCCGTGTGACACGTGTCGTAACAAAAAGAGGATCGCCGGTCGTCAGTTCGAGAAAGAGGGAAACAAACAGATAGTGTGTGTGTGTGTGAGAGAGAGAGAAGGGGAAGGAAAGGGGAAAGGACAAAAACAACGGCGTGATACGGTTTATCAACGACGGGCGAACCACGGGCGAAGGGAAACAGCTCGACAGATGAAAGAAAAGATAGCGACAGAGACGAGAGGAGAAAGAGAGGGGAAAAAAGACACGGCCACCAGCTCCGTAGCCTTCGATTTTTAGGAGGAAAGTGAAGGCTGCAGACACCGCCCAGCTAACCGCCCGGGTGTGCCAACGCGAAAAACCACCCCCGTAGTGTGCTACACAACCGATGCCCCGAATCCTAACATTGCCCATGCGCGTGGTAACCTTGGTTACCGCGCCCAAGCGCGCCAACTGTCGCCCTGGCGGTAGCTCGAGACACTATCGCCCATGCACCCTTGGAAAAGTTTTCGCGCACCCCGCCGATTCCTACGGGAAACTAGGAAACCGTGCGCGCCCCTGCGCGTTGGCGAGCCGCGCGGTGTGTTATTATTTTTTCAGCGGGACGGCCCTCTCTCGCCGTGCTGATGACTCAGCGGCATATACAAAATTCAAGCCGAGGATGCCGTTGAGGGATTTCCCGGGAGGATGGAAGTTTCTCGACGAGACGATCGCCTCGATCGAACGAATTGGCGCGCGTGGACGTGCACATTATCGCGCGCGATTGGGTTTAATGGATTCGTAATTGTGACGTATGCGATGGACGCAATGGAAATATTTTGTGGGACTGATGGGTTTAGATTGTTTGTTCGTGCGTTTGAAATTAAACACGCGTCTTGATCGAGTCTTACTGTCTGAATTGATCAATTTGAAAGAATCGTGTTTCTTCTTGCAAATTCAGAAGTTGAGTAGGTCAATTTTTTTAAAAAGCGATTTGATCACTGCGAGATCGTCAAATTCTCGTCAATAACGCACTTAAAGCTGTTAGAAATTATTATCGATTTAAACGTGCTGCGACGATTATCTCGATGCAAGTTGGAATTAACGAATGAAGAATGAAACGATAATCTATTGCCAGAAAGATGTAACGTTTGTTTCGATTATCGACTGATTTAATCTCTCTATAACTAACCACTCGAATTAAATATTCTCCCTCGTTCCCACGCGATAGTGACCCTTTCAAATTCATAAATTGTAATAAACTCGATGAGCTGAAACATTCGATGTTTATCGGTGTCCAATGAAAGTTTCGTACTACCATCGGTCCATCGAGTTCACTTCACTAGAGGTAAAACATACTTCAGTTTATTGTACCTCTTACTACAAACTGTAACCGATTTAGTATCTCCGATATTCAATATTCATCGACTGTCTGACCAAAGTCTCCAGCTATTTACCGATGAAATTTGCTTGCTCTAGAAGATACTCAACTCTGTTCTCCATTTCTAATGACACTCACTTTATGATAATTAAATAATCTTTGATTTCCGATATTCATTCAAATTTTACCAAAGTCTTGTTCTCCTTGCTGTTCAAAGTCAGTGTTTCAAACAGCATTCGATCTCATTCTATTCCCAATCGTTTGTTCATTCCAGAAGATATCCAACCTCGTTCTCTAATTTAATTTACGGATGTATTTGACGTTCACATTCAAACTCATGCATTTTCTTTAATAAAATCTATTACTCTATCAATAAAGATCAATCAATTACATTTTACTTTCAATCTTCATTTCTGAGCGCATTAACTAATTTAACGTTTATGACGTGTGATTTTTATTCTAGTTTGATCAGTATCTTATTTTCCTCACTGTTCGAACTCAGTATTTGATTCCATTCACCTCTAATCGCCCGTCAATTGGAAATTTATATTAAATATTCAGTCATTCTAGAATGATATTCAACCTCGTTTCTTTCACTTAACATCTTTGATGTTCATATGTAAACCTTTGACAAACCTAACCAAACCGGATCAAACTCATTTCCCTTAACAATAAAATGCACTGCTCGTTCTATCGACAAAAAGCAATCGACTCTATTTTACTTTTAATCTTCGTTTCTAACTACCAACGAATTTAACACTAATCGGTTTGGCATCTACGGCGTTTGATGTTCATCCTAGTCCGATTAGAGTCTTACTTATTCCTTGCTGTTCAAACTACGTGTTTCAAGGGGACACTCGATCCTACTCTCTACCCTCAGTCGTCCATTAATCGTGAATTCATTTAAGATGTTTACTCAGTGTCCGACACTGTGAGACATCCGACAATATGTCGGGGGGATAGTCACGTGGTATCCGTTTCTGGATACCATCAGCATCAGCGATGTCTGCTCGAGCGAATTAACGTAGACACCGCGAGAATTACATTGTGCATCACATCGTTTCCATACGCTTATAGGCGTATAATATAACGGGTGAAGGAAACCCTCAACGTTGTGGTTCGTCTCGTTTATCGAGCGTAAGTGCAGAAGCGTTCTCATAACGACACGGCGTACGATTGATCTTTGAAACGACGAAGGATCAAGAGAATCCATCTTTATATTATATTGATATTGTTTGCTTAAGACTTTCTCCTCCTTGCCGATATTGTTTAGTTTCCTTCCATTTGTTTATAGAGAAAAATAATAATAGATCATATAATAATCCAGTTGCTTTCACTTTAGAGCGTAATGTCCCTACTTTCACAGTTCTGAATTGGATTTTTTTAAAAAGTTGAGAAACAGAGAGTACCTTTCCACGAAAACTGTAAAAATGTCAAACGTCTCTAAAAAACATTTTATGACCGAATCTATTATTTGAAAAAATGAATCTTCTCTTTACACAACGAGTTACTACTTGAGCCGTTTCTTGCTTTACGACTTTCTTTCAACATTTTATTGAACATGACGAAAGGTTAGAATTTCCTGAATTTCTGTCGTTCAATAGTCCTTGGAGAGGATCTAAAGCTTTGCTGCTTGTATCACTCACAGATCTCGCGTTATCACGTAACAATGAAATCTTATATTACAGCTGCCATTTCCCAGATGAAAGCGAACACATATCTCTTTAACTGAATACGCAAACGCTCAGAGCCACATTCGATGATAAATTAATATCAAAGCTGACGATATAATTATTATTATTCGCTACACACGACATTCTGCAAACCATTTGTCAAGATATTATCACTATACCGTACCATACTGTTTAATAATTTCAACCACGAAGTACTGACAGGATAATTATTGTTCGCCGCGCACGATATACGTGAAATAATTATCGTTAAAATATTAGCATTTTCCGAACGATATTTCGAAATGCTATCATCTTTCTGTGAAATACTTCTTTAATATTTTTCACCAGAAAAATAGCCGCCTCTCCCTCAAAGGGAAATGTTTAATAAAACTCGGTGTAAATAACCGACTGGAAAAAGAAACGAAATATATGTAATTAACATTTAAGATGAAACGTGGAAGTTCATAGCGAAAGGCAAAATGCAAATGTTCGCCAGTGTGATTCGTTTCGAACTTCGGCGAAAAATTTCCATTTCAAACGGAAATATAAAATAATTGTTAATGGTGACGGGGTCGTTTCAATCATCGAGCGAAAATTCGCGGTGCACGATATAGGCTAGTGTGGCAACGTTAATTAATTCGACACACACACACACACACACACACACACACACACACACACACACACACACACGACAGAGCAGTAGCATCGAAACTCGGTTATCCGATTTTTAAAATTGTGGTGTCACGATTTATAGGGAAAATTCAAAAAAAGGAAGAAAATTGAAAAATTCGAAAGCCAAACAAATTGTCAGACTATATCACAATTGCGATTTACCATTCTGGTAAAATTAGAAGTCCGATTTGGGCGTTGTTTGAATGAAATGTTTTCGAAAAACGATTATTTCGAAAATATATCGTTCTATTTGGCTTGATATCTCTCTTGAAATAATTTTGAATTGGTTTATTTGTGCAAATGATCTTCCTTTTCATTATCTGGCTACTAATAAACTAAACTTTTCTACTCAATTTTATATTTTGCAAACTACAAAGATCAATGAAATTGAAATACAATTAAAATTATCAATAAGTAAAATTTTTGAAGAACTGCTCGTCTTATTTTAATAAATTCATTTAAATAAAGGATTCATCTAATTCGAACGCGAGATGAAGTTACTTTTCACATTTTTATAATAAAACAAATTAGTGAAAATGATTCACCATTCTAGATTTCGAATAAAATTTGCCCAACTCTGACTGAAAATTTTGAGCTATGAAAAAGTTGAAGAAAAGCAACAGGATTTGTAATAATTATGAATTAATTCGACAATTAATCCAAAGAGGTGAGTTAAAAGTTGAGATTTAGGAAGGGATGTCGTATAAGTTTGCTAATTCACGCGACGTTGAACGCAGACTCGTTTTAACGTTAGTTCAAGTGTCTTTTCGCAAATTTTTAGCCTTTCCTGTCGTTTTTAACGTCGTTTCAGCTTTTGAGTACAGTTACAGGCTACTCGTTCGAAATTTGAACTTCGGATTGAAATATTAAACCACGAGAACACCGTGAATACATGAATTCTCTATGTCGAAAAACACGGCATCTTGTAAAACAGAGAAATAGAACACGCGTAGCAATTTAGATTGGCAAGTGACTTTTAATAGAACGTTGCCATTATCGTACGGTAAGAGAGTTTTAATACTGTTCTCGAGCTAAAATGAGAGAGTTTCAGCACTCAATTTTTTAATGTAATAACGTCTACTACGAGAGTTCTAACGCTGAAATCACCGACGAGATAAAAATATAAAACTCGCGCCAGAGGAATTAAAACACAAGGAGTAGAAAAAGTTTGCGTTGCGGTAGAGAGAGCACAAGTTTCAGTCTGCACATGTACAACCTTGCTGAAACGCTTTTAGAGCAATTGTTAAAAAATTTGTGAAATGCTAAATAACAGTTCATAAAATGAAGACTCTAT